CCACACCCACACCCACACCCACACCCACACCCCTCGTTCGCCTCTTGACCCACGTACCCGTGACTTTGTTTTTTGCGGTGCACGCACCCACGTACCCGTGACTTTGTTTTTTGCGGTGCACGCAGCAGGCACAGACCAGAAACCTTACTTTGTACAATTAAAGTTTTTCACGTTTTTTTTTTGGAAACTACAGTACAAATCCTGGCGCGTTTTCTTGCATTTTGGTGTTTTGGTGTTTTGTGTGGGAAAGGCGTTGAATCGGAGGAGCGGTGTGTACATATTTGAAAAATGGAATGCGAAACGGTTTTTCCTAAACAAAGGGAGGAGGGTGTGCGAAGTGTTCACAGCTGGACGACCCCGTCACATCTCACACAAAACGTCGATACGCAAAAAAAAAAAAAGAGGTGCCCGAAGTGTAGGTATAAGATAGACGCATGCACGCATACGTTCAGTTACGGCCATACACACCAGAATACACCGGATCCCGTCCGATCTCCGAAGTTAAGCTGGTGCTGGCGCAGTCAGTACTGTGGTGGGGGACCACACGGGAATACTACGTGCTGTAACTTTTTTTTTGGATTTTACCCTTGCCTTGTTTGTTTTGAGAAATATGTGGGCATGATGATTCTTGCATTTGAGTTGACTTTGTGGAGAATTCCACTAGCGTGCAGACAAACCAAGTATCCAGAGCGAAGAAGATTATTGACGCAACAACACCGTTGTAATAGACAATCTATTTTTCGCAAACCCTGGTTCAGACACCACACCCTTCCCTCATCTACCACCCAGTACTCCGACTCCAATCAATCACAACCCACCCCCCAGTCTTTGGATTAATCTCCACGCTCGGATCGACAGCCTGAGCCTTTGTAAACGCCATAACATACGTCGCCATCTCGATATGATCCTCCTTGCCCAGTTTAAGTTCTCCCTTTTTGTTACGGAACATCAAGATTTCATGGGTGGTGAATGTGACGAGGATGACGGGGATTTCGTCTTCCAAGAGTGTGAGTTTGCGAATGTCTACGCGGCGGAGGTCGAGGAGTTTGCAGTCGGAGATGAGTCCTTGAGTGCGTTGGGCTTCGAAGCCGGCTGTTAGGCGGGCGTAGGCCTGGTGTGGAGGAAAAACAGCATTAGGCAATGCGCGCGGCGATACCGTGATAGATACGACCCAGCAAGATGAAAAAGCACGTACCCTTTCACCACACCAATCTCTCAGGATATGCGCCTCCCCTTTCAAATACGCCTCCATGATTTCCGGAATCATGTAGGTGGTCGCCTCCTTTAAGAATTTGTCCAACCGAAACGATGGATCCACCACCTTAATCGCCCTAACAACCTGCGCCTGCTCCGTCTCCTCGAAAGCAGCACTGGTGAAGAAATCCCTCACACGTTCCACGAGGGGGTGATCGCTCTCCTCAAACCCGCGACGGACGGAAAACAGTTTTTGGGCGATGGGTGACTCTTCTTTGAATTTACGCCATGATTCGGCTAGACGCGAGGAGCGGTGGGTGACAACGGATGCGCCGGCTTCGGGGTCGGCGGCGACGACGCGGTGTGGGTTGACTACGCCGGGAATGCCTATGGGTATTCCACCAGATTGTTCCGCTATTTGTTCGGCGCGTTCTCGCTCGCGGACCTCGCGGGGCTTGTATTCGGCAAAGTATGCGGAAGATCCGGTATCTACTACATTCTTTTTGATTTGTTTGATCCCCTTTTCTACTATTTTTGCGGCTTGGGTATCCAAAATGGGTTCTGCTACCTGTTCAATAGACATCCTATGAGATTGGTACCGAAAGCAAAATCACAAGTGCGCTTCATCTGAATGACCCAAGCACACCCCCCTTCCATTCCCCGCCGGCACTCCCAAATAAACAGAGACCAATGGCTCACCTTCTGCGTAACATCAGCCACCTTCTCCCCAGCCGTGTAAATCGCCTCCCCCGTCTTCTTCACCACCGGATTCTGCAACGTCGAATCCACCGCATCCCCAAGCTTCTCCACCACCTTTGAGGTACCCTTTGCACCCGTCTCCATCGCCTTTTTCGCCCCCTGCACCATATCTGATTCCGCCAGCTTGTTGGTTTCGGCGCTTAATTGTTTTACATTTTGTTGAAGTTCGCGGTTTTCCGCCCATTGGCGTTTAATTGATCTCGCAAACTCTGAAAAGAAGCCGCCGCCGCTGTTGTGACGGGTTTGGGTGTGGTGGACGAGGAGACGCGGGGTTTGGGAAAGGGGTGTGGTTCGGAATGGAGTGCGGATGGGTCGTGTAGGTGGTGTATGCAGGGTGCGGAAGGAAAGGGAGTTATGTAGTAGTGTTGATGATAATGACGCAAGCGCGGATGCCCGTTTGGTATAGGTCTGGTTGGTATAAAAAGTTTCGAGGATCAGCTACTCGATATCAATTTGACTTGGGTCTTCATTGGGCGAATGTTGTCCAACTTTGTCTTACAAATGGGGCAATGGTATACATACCTTTGCACCTGTTAATGACCCGTTCCCTCTCAGTGCCCTTGTAGAAGCCAATGCAGCCGACATTATTGCGTTTCAGTGAAGGGTCAACCTTTCACAAGCAGCTCTTTTATTAATAAACGGGACTCTTTGCGCGAACTTTGAGTTTTGAGAGTCCAAAAACATTTTCAAGTCCGAAACCCGGGTGACGTCGCTTCGAGCAGCCAAATCTGATTGGCCGACTCCAGTGCTGCGCCACATATGAAATATATAAAGGCGGTGCACGTCGCGCGTTCAGACCGGCCCTCGGTGCTGGTGGTCGAAATGGACCTCTCCACGCTATCCATCCCTTCAAGAGCAGCCACTTCTCAAGAACGGCTATTAAGGCTCACTTGCGGCCGATGTGATATTAAAGTGCTAAAGTGGTCGTCTCGTTGTCCACGAGAGCCACCCTCCCTCGACAAAGATGTGCACAGTGGAGACTTCAAGAAGGCGGTAAAGGCCACTAACTATCTTTAGTCCTCCCCTCTGCCTTCCTGGGGGATAAACACACCGTGTTTGCTCACTGCATTTCTTCCTTGGGTCACACGTCTTCTATTTGAACGGTGTGGCCGATTGATTGTTTCTGTTTCGTATGGGGGAAACGCCCTATTGTGTTGCTCGGGAGAGAACCCCGTCATGGCAGGCATGTTTTTGCCCTGAAGAGTCGAACTACGCGCACAGCGGTTCTTTCAAACAAACAGATGAAGGCCTTTCTTGGCTTGGCTCAGACGGCAGAGCGGTTCTTGACTCAGATGGGAGAGCGTCTGGTTTTGGCTCAGATGGCAGAGCGTCTGCTTTCTTGTCCTTGTCTCAGATGGCAGAGCGTCTCAAAATTGCACCTGGCTCCAAGGACTGCTCAGTTGTGACAGCGACAGTCTCCCGCATACTAGAGAAGGTCTCCTGCATGATATCCCAGGCTATTTCTGGTATGGTATATGAAGTGCGCCGCAGCAGCCCTTTCACCGATCAGCAGAATGGAGTACGCCTTCTTGGCTCAGATGGCAGAGCGTCTGCCTAGTAGGCCTTACGTAAGGGTTGCGAAAGCAGAAGGTCGAGAGTTCGATTCTCTCAGAAGGCATTATAATAGTAAACGATTTCACTGTGATCCTTTTGCGACAGGCGCCATTTCCACTGATGAAGCTCAACAGTTGCCTTTTTGTTGAAGTGGGCTCCGGTGACCGCGTTTGGTGCGTGAGGGTTGAAGTGGATTCAAATTAATTCCACATCGCAGGATGATACTCCGATTACACTCGCTTGGTTGTCGAAGTTGTGGTGCAACGCCTTGCTCCTTGGGAATGGGTTGGACTGGAGCTCCACCTTGTGTGTGGCTACAGAGGGGAGGCGCCTTACCATGGGCCGTCTCCTGTTAGATCGGGGGGCGGACGTACGTCTGGAACGCTCAAGCGTTGCGCGATGTTACAGGAAACGTTTTTGAAAAGCGTGCGTCTTTATTACCCTTTCTGGCACTGATTTTTCGTGGTTCTCGCCCCGCCAGAAATTTTGCTTGGGTCACATTTCTTCCCATCATAGCGCTTACAACTTCATGAACAACACACCCATCCAACCCAAAGAACTTTATACGATCTCCTCCTCTGCCTGTGCGGTGCAAAAGTTTCGACCACCTTATTCCAAGAAATAGAAGAAATGTTCATTTCACACAAATCTCTACAAACCACCAAAAAAACGTCTATTTAGTTTCGCCTTATTTGCATCTTCATCCTCAACCCCCACATCAAAAACTTTTCAACATGAAACAGGTGGCCGCGGTCTTTGAACGTGTAGACGCTGAATGTCACTGCGGCGGATAGGACGGCGCCGGCTGATACGCAGCCGGGGATGCGGAAGGAGGATGGGTCGGCCCATAGCTGAAAACACACGGGTTAAGGAGATTCATTGGATTGTTTGGAGGAGGAGGAGGGGCAACTTGCCATTGTTAATAGGAGGGAGGCGAGTTCGAAGAGGTTTTGGAGCGCGTATTGCATGCCGTTGATTAGGCCTATTTCGTCTGGACGTACCCTTCAGAGCAAAGAAAAAAAATGGTTCAGAGAAGGACAAAAAAGAAAGTCCACTACCGCAAGGGACAGCCAACTCCCACCCACCTCGTCTGCAGAATCTGCGTTTCCGCCAAATCAAACACCCAAAGCCCAAACCTCGACGCCGTGACCCCTCCAAACAACAACACCGCAAACACTGTATTATCCCTCATCCAAAACGCGACGACCACCAACACAAGACTCAACACCTCGCTCCACACGGCCCACAACCCCGTCCTCACCAACCCGAGTTTAGCCACCATCTTGGGCATGGCGAATGTGGCCAACAGACCCGCGAGGACCGAGAGGGAGCGCATACCCGCGAGGAGGGCGGGGGAGTACCCGCGGAGGAGGAGGTAGGAGATCATGACGGTGCCGAATGCGAGGACGGTGAGGTAGAGTTGGGAGACGGCGAGGGCGGGGAGGAAGACGGGGTGGTGGATGAACATGCGCCATTGGGTGAGGATGGTTTTTGGAGGGGATGTTGGGTGTTCTGAGTGGGGGGTGTTGTTTAGAGCCAGTGGTGCGACGCTGTCGAGCGACTCTTGCAATTCGAATTCGGAGGGGGATGAGGATGGTATCGTCGGATTGGATGTTCCGGTTGCGAGCACCTCGACTTCTCGTTTTGGTTTGGCGAGGTCCGGGACGCGTCGGTAAACTTGTTGGATGAGCACCCATTCGACGGGAATGGTTACCAAGCTCCACCCAACAACGAAAAGGTTGGTCACTGGTACGGAAACGACCGCGGCGACGGCGGACACTGCCAAAGGCGCGGCAAGCTTACACAGCAAATCGACGCGACGAAGGTGAGTGTTGAGGCCTGCGCAAATTGGGTGTCTCTTAGTCAAGTGCGTGAACTGCATGCACCAATGAGTGTCTCCTACACTGTGTTACCTGTCAAGGCCATCTCGCTATTACCAGCAATCACCACCGCCCAATCCTTTTCCACGGATATGGTGCCCGCCATATTACCCAGTCGTTGCAAAATCCCAACAACGACCACAGCCGCAAAACCGCCATACGTGACGCCCTTATTAACCTCCAACCCAAACCACGCATGAATGATCCATAGTCCGAGTGCGGACAAAGCGATGCAAACTTTTTGGACTACCAAGAAGGTTCGGAGAGCTGACGAAACCGCCCTTGGGCGATGAGTTTCCGGCGCGGGGGTGTAAACGCGCTCAAACATCAGAGCTACCTCTTAACCGCGGTTTTTCATCCACCAATTTCCCGACACGTGAACCCAAAAATATTGCAAAACTCGTCAACATGAATCCGTGGAGTGATACGGGAAGAAGCGTATCGGCGAAAATGGTGGTGATGAACAGTGCTGCATAGCCGGTGGAGGAAGTCAAGCAGCCTTGCCAACACGAGAAGGTCAAACGTCATAGAGTCCTCACCCGTCGCAAACTCGTCCATACGGGTGCTCCAAGTGGTGAAGAAATAGCTCTGAAGTTCAGAGGCTAGTTGGCCATTGTGCTCTCGCAACACACTGTGCGTATTCCATCACACTTACGGTGCATAGCCGCCAGGTGATGCTGGGATCGGTCTTGCTCCCGCCGGTATCGGCGAGCCCCTGAGTGTGCAGCTGTTGGTCTTGTTCATCAATGGGGTTTGGTGTGATGGGGGGTGAGGCGAGCATTTGACCATGCTCAAAAGTGGTTGAAGTGTGCTCCAAAGGCTCCAGCAGAAGAAACAGAAGCCCGGACCCGGTACCGAAACCTTAAATCTCGTAATCACACCGCCGTGACTGCGGCTTCAGAATATAAACCCCCTCTTTCGCGGCCTTGCTCTTGACTTCTCTCAGAACAAAAACGTCTTGAACCATGACGGAAATCTCAGTGACTGGCTCTTGCTACTGCAAAAAAGTTAAATACACAGCTTCCTGCAAAGACGAGCCTTTATTCTCCGTCTTCTGCCACTGTTCAATTTGCCAAAGGTTATGCGGGTAAGTCTGCCACTTCGCGTCCCGAACAGCAAATATCCACTGACAACCTTGTCCTTGTTCTCTGCCTAAAAAGGGCCCCCTACGCTCCCATCATCGGCTTCTCAGTCGGCTCCATCATTGTCACATCAGGAAAAGATTCGCTCGTCTCATTTGAAGCCACCGACGGGCTTCACCGCTACCGCTGCAACACCTGTTACGCGCCCGTTTACAACCAACGCCTTGGGGGACCTTATGCTTTTGAGGACATTCTCGCTAGCTCCATTGAGCGTCAGGGTGCGGGCGATGGACCGTTGAAGATGCCTGCGGCGTTGAGCCCAAAGGTGCACATCTTTTACGGGAATCGCATTGTGGACGTTGTAGATGGGTTGCCAAAGTTCAAGACGATGCCGGCCTTGTCGAAGGAGACGATGGAGGAGAAGGGAGTCGTGTTTGGCGGGGCTAAGGCAGAGTAGAAGGGTGTGGGGTTACGTATAGGTAGTTACTTACGGGTTTTGTGTGATACAGTATAAGTAGTCTAGTGATATCTCCATAGCATAAGAGGTCGGAACCTATCGTTGTTGCTGATCCGACCATGAGGCACGTATGAACTTGTGCAATGGCTTTTCAGAGTCGGCAGAGGCATGCCTGACGGCTCGTCGTTGTGATGGTCATCGGCGACCGTCCACCGCGCGTACGCGGCGTCCACCTGCACGCACAGAACCTTCTAAATCGCAATGGCCCATTCTCGCGTTTGCCAAGAAATTTTCAAAAAGCCTCCCGACAATTGTGGGACCCACATACTAATGCACTAACACGAGCTTGCAGAAAAAAAAAGCCCAGCGGTGGAACGAGGCGAAGACATGAGAACTTTCTTTTATGACGAAAGAGCTAGTGCTTTTCCTTACTCGGAGGGCATCGGAAACACTTCAGCGCGACTGCACATGTTCGATGTTCGGCATTTTGGTGGCCGGAGACCGTTGGTGAACGGGACAAGTGTGCGCGGGTGGGTTTACGCGTTCAACCGTGGTCGCAGTTGTGTCCGGACGTTCGGACGACGCGGTGGCATGGGACAAGGAGACGCGCGCGTCGGGGTGGGTGAAGACCAGTCCCTTTTTTTTTGGGCTTTGGCAGACGTAGACGCGGAGAGTGCGAGGGCGGAGAGGGAGGGGTTCTAGCTGCAAATTGGGGGTGTGTGCGAGGGAAGGAGGGGTGGGAGAAACGGGTGAACCTGCATATCTGTGAGAAAAAGGCTCTGCGTGGAAGAGCCGTCGTCACCCATCCACCAGGCCCAAAGCAATAACCAACAAGCAACCAAAGCTCCACATCCGCAGCATAAATAGAACCTCACCCTCGCTCTCATCCCCCCCATCAAACCTCACATTCCAAAACACTTTCCGCACGTTATTCTTATTCAACCTCATCAACAAACACAAAACATACCCACACAATACATCATGCCGAAACTACCTCAAATCAACTGGCTCTCAACCGGCCTCCTCACACTCACACCCCTCATCGCGGCCTACGGACTCTTCAACGTCCAAATCCAATTCAAAACCGTGGTCTGGTCGGTTATATATTACTTTATCACGACGTTGGGGATCACCGCAGGTTCGTTACACCGAGGCGCAAGCAAAAGCAACCCTTCAGAGTTCCTTTTCAAACGCGCACTGACGCTCTTCTCACGCTTCCAGGATACCACCGATACTGGTCCCACCGTTCCTACGACGCCGCCATACCCTGGCAATGGTTCATGGCCCTCGCTGGCGCGGGCGCAGTCGAAGGATCCATCAAGTGGTGGAGCCGCGATCACCGCGCGCATCACCGGTGGACCGACACGGATAAGGACCCGTATTCAGCTCATAAGGGGTTCCTTTGGTCGCATATTTGTGAGTGAATAGTGTGTTTGGAGGAAGAGGTTTGCATTTGTTAATATGTGCGTTTTTGGTTCTGCGTAGTGTGGATGATTGTTCGTGAACCGGCTGAGAAACGTGGACGTGCTGATATTACGGATTTGAATAATGATAAGATTGTTCAGTGGCAGCATGATAACTACGTCAGGTGAGTTTGACTTTATCCTCTTTTTGTTTCGTCGCCGGCAGCCGCAGCGCACTAACC